TAAACCCCAAACCCTATATTCTATCCCTAAACCCCGAACCTAGAATTGAGCTGAACCCTCCCATGCAGGCCTACTCCCAACATCGATGAGCCCAAGCAGGAGATGGGTATGGAGCTGGCGCTCATTGGGGCAACCTGGCTTCATGCAGGGGTTAGGGTTTTGGGTTTTGGGTTTAGGGTTTAAGGTTTGGGGTTTCAGGTTTAGGGTTTAGGGTTTAGGGTTTAGGGTTGGGAAATCAAATGGAAAGGGCATGTAGCATGAAATGGAAACTGGATGAAACTGGGTTTTCATAGAGTTGTATAGGGATTATTTCCAGTCTTACGGTCTTAAATTCCTTGCGCAAATGTCGTAATCATGTAGGCTTCCACAGCAGGTTCCAAAGCTTCGGTTCGGAGTGCTTCGGGAACCGAGCTTTCAATCTAAGGGACAAGGGTTCATGATCTACAGTAGGGCTTTGTTTGCAAGAGTTCTTCTGTGATCTGAGACTTTTAGAATGGAGTCTCCGCAATCTAAAGCTGAGGGCAGAAGAAAAGGTCAACCTTCCTCACACGTAGGTATCCGTGATGTAGGGTTTGGTCCATGTGGTGGAGTGTTGGGTTTAGCGCCTGTTTGCTGCATTTGGGGTCACGGGATGGGTTTGAGGGCCCTAAGCCCTAAACCCTAAGAGCGCTTGGGGGTTTTGAAGCTAAGGGTTCTGGTGTTCGAGGTTTGAAGCTCTGCTTGATTTGTGTTCACAGACTTGGGTGTAGAGATTGATAGTTAGTTTCAACGGTGCATGGTTTTGGGCCGGCTGAATCTAACAGGCCAGGGTCTAAAGATGCAGGCGGAGGTGCGTGGGATAGCAGATCAGGGTTAGGGTTCAGGGTTTAGAGTTTAGGGTTCAGGGTTTAGGGCATGTTGGGAGGGACCGTCAACGAGGGTCCGCTGTGGTTCGTGGTCATTGCTTCATGATAGGTTCTCAAAACTACGAGATCCTTCTCACAACAATTGCGTTACGTGGGGCACGGTCGGGAGGCCAAATCTTGAGAAATATCTTCATATCGGAACTGAGAAGATGGAAGAGCCTTCTGCACGAACACGGAACTCGAACTAGCCGAACAAACACGGAACTCCCAACAAGGACTTTTTTAGAGGGCGTCGGTCTCTGTATGGCCTCTTTTTGAGGTCCATGTTAGTCTGGAGAATTGTGTCTAGTTTAAGATACGTAGACATGCGGATAGTGGAGGCTTCATGTTGGGCGTACTCGTTCCTTCAACAGAAAAACGTGTTCAGTACTTATCCCTTTATGGTGCTCCCTGTAGCAACGTGATTTGCTCCAAATGCACAATGCCACTAACCTTGCAGGCCTAAACTTTGGTCCTAAACCCTAAACCCTTGTTCATACAGAGTGCAGGAATGGAATCCTACAATATCCTTGCGAAGCCCCACAATGCGGAAGTTCCAATTTTCTTTTCCCTTTCTTCAATCCTTACAGCCGAAGGTCAAGCAGGCAATCTTGTAAGTTCTCACGATTACAATTCTAGAACCCCTGACAGGGGTAGCCAGAAACCCTTTGTCATCCCCCTAATCCCCGGGGTGTCTAGGGGCCGCCTATATGGAGAAACTGCCATCTCCTGCAGTCTTAGCTATGGAGGGGTCAGCAGCAACCCTAAACCCTAAACCCTAAACCGTGTGGTCCTGGCTCCAAAGATGAACCACCTCCATTGTCTTGCTTGCAAGGGTGGCGGCGATGCGCTCGACGAAGCGCCGGTAGTGGCCTCAAGATATTTGAGGCTAACCAACGTGTTCATGTATGGTTCAGAAGGTTTGGGGGTTTACGGTTTGGGCCCAAGACAAACAGGTGCAGTGGTGTGTAAGTACTTGTACGAGTATGGTATGGCCACTTCAAAGTGTTTAGCACCTTTCAGATTTTATCCCAAAGACTTTAAGTTTGCAAAGCAATCTTGTAACCTTGAGTTTGGGGTCCCAAATGACCCATGTTATTAGGGGCGATATTCCGTGTTTAACATCCCTTTGGCATTTGTGTTCAGTAATGTCCAGTATAACCCCACATATGTTCCCTCACCAGGGCCCACGCCAGTAAATTACATGGGATCGCGTCCACGCCCATTTTTTTTATGGGGTCACATCGTGCTGAGATGAGGGAAATGAAAGACTAGTCACGAGTCACTAGTGGAGGGGGGGCAGAATGTTTCTGAAACCCCTCTCCCAGTCCTACTCCCCTGAACGCCTAGTTATGTAGCCCAAAACCCTCAAAAGCCGTGAACTCCAAATCCTGAGCATTACGGAATACCACTGGCCCCCCGGACCCAATCTAAGGCAATTCAAGGAGGGGAGTTACTATGTAGGGACCTTACGCAAGCCTGTTATACCCCTCATATTATTCCCTTTTGTCCTTATATACCCCGTATTATACACCCATTATACAAACTCCGCCCCATTGGAAACTCTCCTCCTGTAGTTGGTCCTAACCCAACTTCACAGAACTCCTTACATCAACAGCGCTTTTACCTTGAATTCCCCTAACCCCCAAGACCCTAAAGCCTAAATGAACCATAAAACTCTTTAGCACCCTAAACCCCCCCAAAGCCTAAATCACAAATGAACCTTAAAGCCTCAAAGAGGCCCTAGACCCCCATAACCCTGAACGCGCACCTAAGCCCTGAACCCTATACCCAAAACTTTAGACTTCAACCCCACATCTCTTCAACCCTAAACCCCAAACTCCTAATCCCTAAACTCCTAAACCCGAAGCTCCTAAACCCCAAGCCCCTACACACCAAGCCCCTAAACCCCAAACCCTATAGTCCCCCTTAAGTAGATAGAATATGGGGTATATGGGGATCTTATTATGTTATACCCAAAGCCATATTCTATCTACTTAAGGGGGACTATAAACCCTTAACCCTAAGCCCTTAACCCTAAACCCTAAGCCCTAAACCCTTAACCGTAAACCCTTAACCCTAAGCCCTTAACCCTAAACCCCAAGATCTACGCCTAAACTGCCAAGGTCATGGTCGAGTAGGCTTCCTCACCTGGCCACATCCCCAGCCGTCGTAGTTGCGAATGTCAAGGCGGGTTAAGGTTAAGGGTTTAGGGTTTAGGATTTAGGATTTAGGGTTTAGGATTCAGGGTTTAGGGTTTGGGATTTAGGGTTTAGGGTTTAAGGTTCAAGGTTTGGTTTGGGGTTAAGGGTTTAGGCTTACGGGTTAAGGGTGTAGGGCTAAGAATTTGGGGTTTAGGGTTTGGGGGTTTGGGGTTATTGGGATATGTAGAGTTTAGTCCCCTTATGGGACCTGTAGGGATATATAGGGTTAAGTTCGCTTAAACGGGGTAGAAAGGTTTGGGATAGTATGTAACCTGTAGGGATTAGGTTGTATGATCTGGAGGCTTCAAAAGGTTTGCTATAGACGCCTGAGTAACTACAGATACTGTAGAAACAAATAGAAAATTCAATGGAAACGGTGCTCGCAGAGTGGTTCAGAGGGTGTTTTATGTAAAGCCTGAACAGCTACAGACATCCTTCACTTCTAGTCCCTAAATGAAAACAGCAAAGTTTACCCCAAGGCCTTAGGCCAACGATCCATGATCAGGGGGGGTTCAGGGGTGTTGGGGGCTTAGGGATCTAGCTTTTCAGGACATGTAAACCCTAAATCCTGAAGAAGGTCTAGGACATTTTGGGGCAAGGTTAAGGGAGAGGCCTCAGAAGTACTTCGCTTGGGATTAGGATTCAGGAGTCAAGGGTTTCAGGCTTGTACCCCTAGGGTCGTACTCCTGGGCTTTGGGATCCTTTTAAGGGACCCCAAGGACTGCTCAGGTTTATATATGGGCTATATTGGGGCCATATTGGGAGAACCTTTTAAGGGTACGGCCTTGGGGTACAACCCTGAAACCCTTGAAGGAAGAATGCCCAGAAATGTCTGGGTGGTTCTTCTAATCTTGCACTGTCCCCTTAAGCCTTGGTCTCAGCAAGCAGGAGCCGGTGCATCACATCATTGCAAAAGGAACCGGATTTCCAGACACGGTTTCCGCGCGTGCTCTGCAGAGAGTTTCGTTGTTCGCCCCTTGACGAAGGAGACTGCAACCACTGCACTGCTCCAATGGGACATGCAGACAGTGCAAGCCATCTTCAACCTCGGTACTAAAACTCGACAGTTGGGTACTGCCCCCACTCATTAACAGTCGTAACATAAGTATATAGAGCCCTGAATATGACCCCTATCATAGACTGTTAATGGGTGGGGGCAGGACCTTAGGATAAGGGTTTATGGCGTATGGCCCTAAGGTGGTTTAATTAGTTCGGTCAAGGTTTCAGGGCTCCGGGTCTTTAGGGTTTTGGGATTAGGGATTAGAGTTCAGCGAATGTTAGTATCGGGGAACTGACGTGATACTCCCTAAACCGTAAACCTAACCCACAACCTTAAACCCAAACCTCAACCCAACCCTCAACCCTAAACCCTAGACCGTGTGGCTGCGTTGCTCTCATACCCAGACCCCTGGGAGGATCTAAAAATTAGATCCCCTATATAGAGCCATTATAACCCCTATATAATCCTTATATAATTTCCCATATGGTTCTAGGGGTTCTAATTTTTAGATCCCTTTGGGGGTCTGGGTACGTTCTAAGGTGGCTCGGATTTTCCGCCCACTGGCTGGCTTGAGAGGCTTTCTGAGCAATGCAAGATGCAAGGGTCCAATGCCCTCTATATGGGTTTAGGGTTTAGGGTTTAGGGCTTTCTGAGCAATGCAAGATGCAAGGGTCCAATGCCCTCTATATGGAAGATAGGCAGACAGGTATGGTGGTTTCCCTAAATAGGGGGACCCCGATATAGACCCCCAAATACTATAGTCCTCATTCAACGGACCTTTAAAAGGGTACCTCTAACTTTGGGAAACCTCCAAATCCCAGACCCTAATCCCTAAACCCTATAGAACCCTATATCCCCCCCCCCCCCCCTATAAACCTCATTGAAGGGTGCCCTTAGTTTTGGGGAAGCCCCCAGTAACAGTCCAGCGTTTGGGGGACCTGAGTTTGCTCCTCCAGGTTTGATTCCTCAGAACTTGTTTCGATTGGCGTGCGCTTGTGTGCTTATTCTACGGGTCCAAGGACCTAAATATTGGGGTCTGAGAGCCCAAATGCTATAATCTGAATGGTATTTAGGATCTAAAGCCTTAATATTTGGGTCCTTGGACCCTTAGTGTTATATGGGCCTCCAGAATTTTGGGCCAACTTCAGCAACGGCTCGGTGGTCAATTGTTTTGTGAAGTCTGAGGCCAGAATCATGCTGTCTTGACGGTAAACTTACTGCTGGCTTTTGATGGTATGGTTGGACCAGAGTTCTACGCGCCACCTAAACCTGAAACCTAAACTCAGGTTGCTTCGAACTCAGGGGATTGGACCCTCCGGGTTTAGCTTGAAGCCTGCCAAGCGATGGTGGTGCTTAGGCCCTGACATAGGCATCGCCCAGACCTACACCTACACAATCCTTCAGAGGGACAAACCCTAAACCCTGAACCCTTATGGTCCTGAAAAGAGGTTCCTGGGACTTGGTAACTACTTGTAACTGGGGTTACAGTTAGGATGAGTAGAACTGAATTTATAATCCAAGCAAGAAGTAGTTACTACGTGCCATGAACCTCCAAGTAGCCATCTACACTGCCTAAGCCCCTACGCCCTAAACCCGAAACCTATGGTGCCAAATCCTAAACGCTAAACCCTCGGGTTCTTGAGGCCGCACTTTTTTTTCGCCAACTCTAATCTGTCTTCTCAATTCAATAGTTTGGAGCGCTGAACAAGCGAAGTGTAATAGATGAGCTGGGTCTTCGCAAAAGGTTATATTTGCGGGGGGGGGGGGGGGG